ATTATTATTATTATTATTATTATTATTATTATTATTATTATTATTATCTTACCTTTATTATTTTTATAACTAACCCAAGATAATGAATATACCTGCCAGAGAGTGTAACTGGCCCAAAGTCATCCAGCCAACTTTCATATGGCAAAGAAATGCTATAAATCTAAAAGGTACAGTCCTATCAACTTGGAGTTTGGAAAAAAATAGACATGGAAGAAAACAAAACAAGCAAAAGAAACAAGAACAAAAGCACAACTGCTTGAAGGGGTGGCAGGGAAGGAAATAAATAAATGTTCCAACAGAATGAATGAGGACACAATGAAAAATAATATGGAAACTCTAAGGAACAAAGCGAAAGGAATTAAGTTACAAAATGCCTCAGAAGTCTAAGTAGTTTTGCTGACAGGAGGTATAAAAAAGATATCTAGTGGAATGATGAGGTTGTAGATAAGAAAATATGCATATAAAAGAGTGTTTGCTCCAAAAAATAAGAGAAAAATGATGAATGATTTATTTATAAAGAAATATTTGTGAATATTTCAAAAGTAGTGAAAGAGAGCAAGAACAAAGAGGGGGGGGGGGGGGGGGGGGGAGAGAGAGAGAATGCAGAAAGCTCCAAAGGAAAATAAATAGGTTTTAAGAGCTTTTCCTTGTGGATCATTGAAGCTTTTGTCCTTCACTTCAGTAAGTGAACCTTTAAAGCAAATGGTGGCACCATATTTACATTCAAAGTGTTTGCAGCACATCCACAGCTTCAGATGTTGATTTGTTGTATGTGTACAATATATGCACAAATAAATGTATGTGTATATAGATGAGTGTAGCAAAAAATGTATGCATTTGAGTATGGTGAGGGGAACTAAGGAGAAGCGAATGAATACTCCATTCAGCATAAAAGAACTTTGCTTCAGCATGTAAAAAAATATTCTTGCTTATGCTTTCTTCAGCACATAGGAAGCCATTGTAAGGGAAGGAACCCATCATATACAGTATGTATGCTTAAGGTTAAGAAAATAGAAAAGTGAAAAACTGTAAAATCGAGCAAAACAGGAACACTGCTAGAAAATAATACTTTTATATTATTGGCCTATGATAAAAATGACATATTTTGTAGCCAAAATTTGTAGCCAAATTTGAAAAACTTTATATTGACTTATTTGTTATATGAGAAAGTATAAAAAGTGAAATAATCTGAGTTCGGCATGCTTCTCTGTGGAATTCGCCCAACAGCTGTTGATTTTCTACATCACGAAAAGATTTTCTATATCAGGAAACGATTTTCTATTTCAAGAAAAGAACCTTACAAGGTTAATGCTGATACCATATAAGTAGAGCAATATGAGAACTTCCAGTAAAAACATGATGAGTTGGACATCCTTGAAGGATGTGCTGTGACAGAAAACAGTGACCAGAAGGCAAGTTCTGGCCCATGAAATCTTTCTGGAGAAAGGAGAGGTTGTGAGATTAACCACATGCACTCTGAACTCCTAAATAAATTGCAGAACTGAGGTTTGTGCCATTGGCTCATGAATGGAGAGGATGGAAGTCAAAGGATTCCATTTAAGTTCATAGTCATAATAAAGCCTATACGGACTAAAAGCTGAGCTAAAAATGATTTTTAATCACTTTAGAAATTGCCTTTTAATTGTTTTCTTAACTGTTAAGAATCTTTGAATCAACAAGTTTTGTAACTTTCATCAGGTGAATTGAGGTAGGGGGAATAAACAGCAAAAGCATGATTAGAATTTTATAAAGTTATAAATAGTTAAGACTCCAGAGGTAATTACTATTTGCATCCAATCTTTATTATTTTTTACAAATCAATCAAAGTGGCAAACATAACCAACACAGTCTCCTCAAATAATTTTAAAATTAATTACAAGAAACCTTATCTTGCAAAAATACTGTTGTCTAGAAAGAAATTATAAGATAAAAATTGGACATTAGAGAGAAACAGAAAAAATTAAAGACTATAAGAAAAAAGAACAATTAATTTTGACTTACTAATACAGAATGGAGCAAAATATTTTAACTTTTGGAGAATATTTCTGAACAGCGGACTCAGAAGTTAATCTTAAAAGTGTCTGACATCCTAAGTAAACTGGTTTTAAATGAGGATATAGAAGAGGAACAGCTTTTACTGGATAAGACTGAGACTAAACTGCCTGAAGTCTTAACTAAAAGGGAGACACAAATAAAAATCACTAAACTGGCTTGGATAATTTTCTTATTTTGTGTTTACAAAAGAGACTTGCTGAAACAAAAAAGGATTATTTGAAGAGAGACAAAGAAAAAATGAACAAAAATCAGGTTCCAGATATTTAAAACGATTAAAGAACAAAATTGTTAAAATCAAAGGGAATATTTATTTGATCAAGTTTAAAATATATATGTTGTTGTTTCTGAAAGTCTTTAATAAACTTTTGTTGACCATGACCAAATGAAAAGGTTAAGAATTTGTTTATAAGAGATGATAAGAGATGACTAGAATAGAATGGAATTCTTTATTGGCCAAGTGTGATTGGACACACAAGGAATTTGTCTTGGAGCAAATGCTCTCAGTATACATAAAAGAAAAGATACATTCGTTAAGAATCATAAGGTACAACACTTATTAATAGTCATAGAGTACAATAAACAATCAAATCATACTAGGAAACAGTCAATATAAATCGTAAGGATACAAGCGACAAAGTTACAGTCATACAGTCACAAGTGGGAGGGGATGGGTGATAAGGAGTGATGAGAAGATTAATAGTAATAGTAGTGCAGACTTTGTAAATAGTTGAACCATGTTGAGAGAATTATTTGTTTGGCAATTGTTTGTTTGATTTCGGGGAAAAACTGTTCTTGTGTCTAATTGTTCTGGTGTGCAGTGCTCTATAGCATATGTAGGAAGAAGATTTTCAGAGAAAGTACAAATTACTGAAATTGTACTTGCTATGATGAAGGGGGAAGTGATTTTTTCATACAGGTACTGTAGTCCTCAACTTACGGCCACAATTGAGCCTCAAATTTCTTTTGCCAAGAAAGATAGTTAAGTGAGTATTTTACCATCTTTTTTGCCACAGTAATTAAGTTAGTAACACAATTGTCAAGTGAACCTGGTTTCCTTTTTCACTTTGCTTGTTCAAAGGTTGCAAAAACTGATCACTTGACCCTGGGACAGCTGCAACTGTCAAAAATATGATCCAGTTGCCAAGAGTCCAAATTTTGATCGCATGGCCATGGAGATGCTGCAATGGTGGGTGATAAGTGTGAAAAAATTCCTAAATCACTCTTCAGTGCCATTGTAACTTTGAAAAGTCACTAAGTGAATGTTGTAAGTTGAGGACTAACCATATGTTTTTTTTTTGCTGTATCTTTTCCCTGTATTTGCTATCTTTTCATTCTTTTATACTCTTTCAGTTTGTATTAGTTTTTTAATGTGTGTAACTGAACACGATAATAAAATTAGTATAAAAATTTAAGCAGAATAGTAAAAGAAAAACACTTACCTTACAACGACCAAATTTATCTGCAAGCATCCCAAATGTTACACTAGCCACCATGTAGCCAAAAAATACCATCTGAAAAAAAGTCATCATGTACAGTTCCAAGTAAGATCAGACAGTGATTTGATACACAAATGAATGAGAAGCTAACATTAAGGCACATTTAGCTCTGTCTTCCAACATCTGAATCTCTACCTGTATCACCCCAGATTTTTATTTGGCCGACTATTAATGCTCTTAAAATAATATGGAAAATCAGCATGGGAGTCACCAGATTTCTATTGTTGGTGTCACAAAGACAAAGGAAATGATAGCTTCCAAACAGACAAGAAGGAACCTGATATAGTTCAGGGTCTTCTTAAATGTCAAGAGCCCATCTTCAGACCCCCTTATCCAACTACTTATCCCTCAATTCTCCACTGAGGTTGAAGTTTTCAGTTTCAGTAGCTGAAGGTCAGTTAATGGCTCTCTTTACAGTTCAGTATATACACTAATGAAAATTATTATAGCCATACAGTAATTTGAAAAGCAAGTCCAGGAATGGAAAGAATCATCACAAATATTCTTAGCTGACCATATGAATATACATATATGACTATTTATTTGGGAGACCTGATTTTGGAGCCAAGGTTGACCCAAGACATTTATGCTAAGACATCCATAACTGGTCAAGGAATTTTTGGAATCTGAATAAGAAAATTATATAAGTACAGAAAAAAATGGAATAATGATGAAGCAACTAATGCTGATGTTTTAATGCAGAGGTGTCAAACTCAATTTCATTGAGGGCTGCATCAGGGTTGTGGTTGACCTTGGGGGGGGCAGGCGGGCATGGTTGACTGGATGGGTGTGACCAGCTTGCTCCCCAAACTGTTGGCATGTTTCCTTTTCATATTGGGTAGACAGGCTAAAGCCACACTGAGCCGATATTTCCTCTTCACATTGGGCTGAAGCGACACGGGTAGACCAGGCCAAAGTGACATGGGCTGGCCCCTTACATTTTCCAGGACAGCTCAGTGAATTGGATCTGAGCACATCATGGATCAGATCCAGCCCACGGGCCTTGAGTTTGACACTTCTGTTTTAATGTGACCAGAATCATTTGACTGAGGAACATGATTTATCTTGTCTCATAATGGTCCCAATACCTTCTCCCCAATGTTAGTCCAATGATCATGTGATTGTAGAAATTCTACTCACTGTTGTCACTAAAGCCACTTGCCAATTTTTAAGCTGCCATTCACATCGGATGACAGGACCCACTACAGCAATCAGCATGATTTCCATAGCTTCTACCACCTTTGGGGATGAACATATGAAACAATATTTAAAATATATATCGTTTTCAACATACCCAAGACACAAAGAGGGAATTTTCAATTCTCATTCTACTTCTCCAAGCCTGTATAGTACTGTTATAAATTCTATGCTATGATAGACTCTCCCGAGAAGAAAAAGACTCTATTATATGAAGATAAACTGGATGGAGTGACTTAAATATAGTTTAATTAATTAGGATGGATTTTTAAAAGAAAATAATATATGTATTGTTAGAAAGCTTTAAGTTAGTTTTGTATGTATAAAATGAGTATGTATGTATATGCAGTTTTCCAGGTTTTTATAAGTAATCCAGAACAATATTTTAAAGTTGGCAAAACATTATGGACTAGATTTGAAAATATGGGAATGAATAATATATTATTCCCCAGGGGAAGCTGAGATGGTTAAAATGTTTCTTTTATCTAAATAAGAAATTATATTAAATGTTGTCATTAGTTTGAAATTGCTTCTGGATTTTATGTTTGCAATGAGGAAAAAATGAAACTTTGATTCTATTTTTGTAAGTTAGACTGACTTATTGTTATAGAAATGGCTTGTACATATTGCTATGTAAAGGCAAAAAGTTATAGTTGTAATGTTGTTACCTTTGACTGTGCTAAAGAGAGTCTGAAGTTAATGCCTTTTTTCTTTTTTTTCTCCCATTTCCCTTCCTCTTTTCCTAATTTTCCATGTTTTTTTTTCTTTGTATTTTATACTTTGATAAACTAACAAAAAAGTTTTAATTGGGAAAAAAACCTCTATGTTATTTCAATATTCTGAAATGATACTGTGTGCAACTCCTGGTTTTCCTACAGTTCCAAACTCAGAGAGTGCTAGCGACCATAGAGATTAAACCGGGGGTGGCCTTCAAAAATTTCAGCAACCGGTTCTTTGCTGAGTTGCTGGGTGGAAATGGCCATGGCGGGTGTAGCCTAGTCAGCCTAGTCACAACGGTGTGGGGAGGGGCATTTTCACCTTCCCCAGGCTCTGGAGGCTTTCCTCGAGCCTCTGGGATGGTGAAAACTGCCTCCCCTTGGCTCCGGAGGCCCTCCAGAGGCCGGACACAGGCCTGTTTCTGGACTTCCAAGAGGCCCGTTTTCCCCCCCTCCCCGAGCCTCTGAATGGGCCCTGCACTTACCTCACATCCAAAATGGGCTACGTGGAGATTCCTGAGAGGGGAGAGGAGGAGAGGGGTGGACGGGGCCAGCCATGGATGGGATTTGGCGGTTTGCCGAACCAGTCATAACATTAGAAATGGATTCACCCGAACCTGGGCAAACCCATAGCAGCCCACCCCTGGATTAAATATATTCAAAATAGATAGATACTCCAATCCTTGGCCATGTCTCTATCTTCAATTCCTGCCCTTCAACCTCCTTGTTATAGCTGCCTGATGGATCCCCATACTTCCTTGTTGGAAAAGTCAGAACCACATTGTTACACACTGCCTGAACATTAGCTAGCACTTAGCATAACTCAGAAGAAGCCTTGATTTTTAGAGGGCAGAGGAGATGTGAAAGGGTGAAAATTGAGAGCTTTTCTGCAAATAACTTTCTGACTCATACTCCAGAATGTCCCAGAATATCCCTAAAGGAAGTGTTAAGAAGACAGAGAAGAGCAGCCAATGTGCTTGGAAGTGTTAGCACAATAAATTTCATCAAAATATAGTATTATGCTGAAATGTTCTGCATCTTAAAATCATGTCTGTGGAAATTCTCAGTCATCCAGGACCAGGTCATAGCTGTCTCAAAGGTGCTTTATTTCTTCAAAAGGCAACTGGACTGTTTTTTTTACCTTAAGGAAAAAGAAGAAAACATTTTGTTTTTCATCCAGGAAGCTTCATCAGTCCCCCACCATCAGAACCTGAAGTGATATTCAGCAGGTTCTGACCAGTTCTGGAGAACCTGTAGTGGAAATTTTGAGTAGTTCAGAGAACCAGCAAATGCCACCTCTGACTGGCCCTGCCACCATCTATTCTCTGCCTCTGGAGTCCCAGCTGATCGGCTGGGTCTTCTTTTGTTGCCCTACACAGGAGTACGGAGCTGGAAAGCAGGGAATGGGGATTTTGCAGTATCCTTCCCCTGCCACACTCACCAAGCCATGCCACGCCCACCAAGCCACTCCCATAGAACCGGTAGTAAAACAATTTGAATCCCACCACTGATCAGAACTGATGAAGCTTCTTGGACGAGAAGCAAAACATTTTCTACTTCTTTCTCAAGGAAACACCAGCCTTTTGAAGAAAAAAAGCAATCTTTTTTTCATCTTCACACAATGTGGTGCAAAAAGGATATTCCAAAGTGTGGAGGGCTGTATGAATGTCTGCACCTTCACCATGGAAATCTCTCCAGCCTGCCCATCCCCTCCAAGATTTCTAGGTCTCCATTAAATCTCAGAGACAATTCCTGCATAACTTTTCCTAATCTAGAATTGTGGACAACAAATGATGCAGGAAAGACTATAATAAAAGAGCAACAAATTCTCTGGTATCATAGAACAATGGACCTTGCACAATACCATGGAATTTGAAAGAAATTCAAATGCTTCTCAGCAACCAATAAAACTGAGGCCACTTCTGCAAAGGGGAAAAGTTTTAGGAAATGATGATAAATTTCAGTGCAATATTAATAAGAATAACTTACACCAGTGCTACCCATGATCATAAAGAGTGCAATGTGGAATCTCCCAAAACCGATTGTTTCCACAGCTTCTTCTACTGTAAAGGTCTTTTGCTCTATATTTAATAGAATGTTAATAGTTATAATACATAGAATAAATTAGCATTTATTCATTATTCTTAAACATAGAAAACATTACCAAAACACGGGAGGAGAAGAATACAGATTTCCCTGAAATATGCACTAATATGCACATATAAAAATAATTAATTTCACTATTGTCCACAAATCTAAAAATAGATGTCCTGTTAACCTTATCTCTTTCAGGACTCCAAAAGCTACCAATGGGCATTTGCAAGGCCTGTTGCCTTCCTTCTAAACTGTTTGTTTACTAAATTGGATTTATTATGAACAAAAGAAGAATCTTACGTAAGGATGGTTGAAACAGAAGATGGTTTCAAATAGAGAATTATGAGAGGGACAAAAGACCATCAATAAGATGTGAAAAGTTTGGGTAAGTCACATTTTGTCCATAAGTGTCAGAAATACATTATATACACTGCTCAAAAAAATAAAGGAAACACAAAAATAAGACATCCTAGATCTGAATGAATGAAATATTCTCATGAAATACTTTGTTCATTACATAGTTGAATGTGCTGACAACAAAATCACACAAAAATTATCAATGGAAATCAAATTTAGCAACCCATGGAGGTCTGGATTTGGAGTTACACTGAAAATTAAAATGGAAAAAAACCCTACAGGCTGATCCAACTTTGATATAATGTCCTTAAAACAAGTCAAAATGAGGCTTAGTAGTGTGTGTGGCCTCCACGTGCCTGTATGACCTCCCTACAATGCCCGGGCATGCTCCTAATGAGGTGGCGGATGGTCTCCTGGGGGATCTCCTCCCATACCTGGACTAAAGCATCCCACAACTCCTGGACAGTCTGTGGAGCAATGCGATGTTGGTGAATGGAGCGAGACATGATGTCCCAGATGTACTCAATTGGATTCAGACCTGGGGAACGGGCGGGCCGGTCCATAGCATCAATGCCTTCGTCTTGCAGGAACTGCTGACACACTCCAGCCACATGAGTTCCAGCATTGTCATGCATTAGGAGGAACCCAGGG